AAATAATGGTAGTACACTCACATTTAAGCGAGCTATAGCCATCTCAAGCTAAATAGGCATACCGCGGTATAATCCCCACTTATAGGATATGCAGCATGTGTCCACCTCAAGAGTAGTATCCGAAATTCAGGAAAGGGATAGAAAGACAACTAATAGTGCTCTCAATATAAAAATGTCAGTAGATAAAATGAATACAAATGTACTTACAAGGATATGACTACACGAAACTTAGAAATAAGACTTCGTGAGTATTAAGGATATCTTAAAAAAGGATATCTTAACCATTCAGTATCAAAACATTTCATTCTACATAATAATGATCAAAAATTACTTAAATGTATTGGAATCCAAAAATGTACTATTCCTTGGAGAGGGGGTAATATTAAAAATATCCTAGGTAAAAGCAAAATAGAATGGGTATTCAATTTACAGACACTCCACCCAACCCTAACCCTATCCTAACCGTACTCTTAACCCTAACCCTACTCCTAACCCAGCCCTAACTCAACCCCTAACCCTACTCTTAACCTAACCCTACCCCTACTCCTAACCCAATCCTACTCCTAACCCTACTCCTAACCCAACCCTAACTCTAACCATACTCCTAGCTCAACCCTAACCCTACACTTACCCTAAGTCCCGAAGTGCTGAATTCCCGAATTTCGGTATAACCGAACCATAGTGCCGACGTCCCGAATTTTGGAATGCCGAACCAAACTTTTTGCCCATGCACATCCCTAATAATCAACAGGTCAATCTGTTGAATGCTTCTTTTTCTTGTTGAGTTTTTTGGGGGGCTTGCTCTTGAATGACATCTTGGCTTGTGCAATTTCTTATAAACTGCCTTTTTGGAATGCCTCTAAAGCATGAGGGATGATGGCAGATGGTGGAATATATTTAAGTATTCATGTGGACCTTTTTCACCCCTTAGTGACCAGACTGTTTTTCAATTTTCTTACCATTTAGGACCAGGGCTGTTTTTACATTTCTATGGTGTTTGTGTTTAGCTGTAATTTTCCTCTTACTCATTTACTGTACCCACACATATATAGTTTTTCTTGCAATTAAATGGTCTTTCTAAAGATACCATTATTTTCATCATATCATATACTTTACTATAAAAATCTTTTATAAAATATGATGAAACAATTAAAAAAACACACATTTTCTAACTTTGACCCAATGTTAACATGTTCTTAGCTTTTTTTTTTTTTTAACAAATTATAGGGCTATAAGTACAATAAGTACATTGCTGTTTCAAAATATATATTTAAAAAATGTATCAATAGTGCTATTGTAACACTGTTATCTGTCATAAATCTCTGAATCACACCTTACATGTACATTTGTTTTTTTTAAAGTAGACAACCAAGGGTATTCAGTGTGTTTTTTTTTTAGTAGCCACTAAAAAAAAATATATGGTTTGGTGGAGGTAAAATACATTGGCCGGCCTTACAAATGTCCCAAATAGGACATGTGCGCAGGTTGACTACATGTCAAAATTCCAAGTTGAAAAATGGATATGCGCACCTGCCAAATGTGGCCTTTTAGCCCCCAAACAATCGACAAGCCTATGCATGGGTGGTATCACTGTACTCAGGAGATGTTGCTGAACACATATTGGTGTGTTGTTTGGCAGTGACACATAACACGATTTGTTAATTCATGCCTAAAGTACAATGTGTGTGAAAAAAAACACACAAAAAATGACTACCTAAATGTTTGACAAAGTCTGGTGGTAGAATTAGTGCATGGAAAGTGTTAAAAAAACACCATTTGAAATACCCTAGGGTGTCTACTTTCCAAAAATATATGGTTTGGTGGGGGTAAAATACATTGGCCGGCCTTACAAATGTCCCAAATAGGACATGTGCGCAGGTTGACTACATGTCAAAATTCCAAGTTGAAAAATGGATATGCGCACCTGCCAAATGTGGCCTTTTAGCCCCCAAACAATCCGACAAGCCTATGCATGGGTGGTATCACTGTACTCAGGAGATGTTGCTGAACACATATTGGCGTGTTGTTTGGCAGTGACACATAACACGATTTGTTAATTCATGCCTAAAGTACAATGTGTGTGAAAAAAAACACACAAAAAATGACTACCTAAATGTTTGACAATGTCTGGTGGTAGAATTAGTGCATGGAAAGTGTTAAAAACCACCATTTGAAATACCCTAGGGTGTCTACTTTCCAAAAATATATGGTTTGGTGGGGGTAAAATACATTGGCCGGCCTTACAAATGTCCCAAATAGGACATGTGCGCAGGTTGACTACATGTCAAAATTCCAAGTTGAAAAATGGATATGCGCACCTGCCAAATGTGGCCTTTTAGCCCCCAAACAATCCGACAAGCCTATGCATGGGTGGTATCACTGTACTCAGGAGATGTTGCTGAACACATATTGGCGTGTTGTTTGGCAGTGACACATAACACGATTTGTTAATTCATGCCTAAAGTACAATGTGTGTGAAAAAAAACACACAAAAATGACTACCTAAATGTTTGACAATGTCTGGTGGTAGAATTAGTGCATGGAAAGTGTTAAAAAACCACCATTTGAAATACCCTAGGGTGTCTACTTTCCAAAAATATATGGTTTGGTGGGGGTAAAATACATTGGCCGGCCTTACAAATGTCCCAAATAGGACATGTGCGCAGGTTGACTACATGTCAAAATTCCAAGTTGAAAAATGGATATGCGCACCTGCCAAATGTGGCCTTTTAGCCCCCAAACAATCCGACAAGCCTATGCATGGGTGGTATCACTGTACTCAGGAGATGTTGCTGAACACATATTGGCGTGTTGTTTGGCAGTGACACATAACACGATTTGTTAATTCATGCCTAAAGTACAATGTGTGTGAAAAAAAACACACAAAAAATGACTACCTAAATGTTTGACAAAGTCTGGTGGTAGAATTAGTGCATGGAAAGTGTTAAAAAACCACCATTTGAAATACCCTAGGGTGTCTACTTTCCAAAAATATATGGTTTGGTGGGGTAAAATACATTGGCCGGCCTTACAAATGTCCCAAATAGGACATGTGCGCAGGTTGACTACATGTCAAAATTCCAAGTTGAAAAATGGATATGCGCACCTGCCAAATGTGGCCTTTTAGCCCCCAAACAATCCGACAAGCCTATGCATGGGTGGTATCACTGTACTCAGGAGATGTTGCTGAACACATATTGGTGTGTTGTTTGGCAGTGACACATAACACGATTTGTTAATTCATGCCTAAATTACAATGTGTGTGAAAAAAAACACACAAAAAATGACTACCTAAATGTTTGACAATGTCTGGTGGTAGAATTAGTGCATGGAAAGTGTTAAAAAAACACCATTTGAAATACCCTAGGGTGTCTACTTTCCAAAAATATATGGTTTGGTGGGGGTAAAATACATTGGCCGGCCTTACAAATGTCCCAAATAGGACATGTGCGCAGGTTGACTACATGTCAAAATTCCAAGTTGAAAAATGGATATGCGCACCTGCCAAATGTGGCCTTTTAGCCCCCAAACAATCCGACAAGCCTATGCATGGGTGGTATCACTGTACTCAGGAGATGTTGCTGAACACATATTGGTGTGTTGTTTGGCAATGACACATAACACGATTTGTTAATTCATGCCTAAAGTACAATGTGTGTGAAAAAAAACACACAAAAAATGACTACCTAAATGTTTGACAATGTCTGGTGGTAGAATTAGTGCATGGAAAGTGTTAAAAAACCACCATTTGAAATACCCTAGGGTGTCTACTTTCCAAAAATATATGGTTTGGTGGGGGTAAAATACATTGGCCGGCCTTACAAATGTCCCAAATAGGACATGTGCGCAGGTTGACTACATGTCAAAATTCCAAGTTGAAAAATGGATATGCGCACCTGCCAAATGTGGCCTTTTAGCCCCCAAACAATCCGACAAGCCTATGCATGAGTGGTATCACTGTACTCGGGAGATATTGCTGAACATATATTAGTGTGTTTTTTTGGCAGCAAGACATAACAGGATCTGTAAGTTTATACCTGAATTGCAATGTATGTGAAAAAAAAAAAAAAAAACAACTATCTATGCAAAGTTTGGCAAAGACTTGTGGTAAAATGGCTGCATAGAAAGTGTCAAAATATCCTTAGATGAATACCCTGGGTTGTCTACTTTAAAAAAAATATATACATGTGGAGTGTTTTCCAGAGATTTATGACAGATAATAGTGTTACAATGTCACTATTGATACAGTTTAAAAATGTTTGTTTTGAAACCGCCATATCCTAATTTTTAATCTATTTAGCTGTTTTTTTCATTCGCTTTTGTAGATGAGTAAAAGATTTTTCAAGTAAAAGTCAAAAAACATGTATTTTTTTCAATTTTTCATCATTTTTTTTTATTTTTTTTAAATTAAAATATATGAGATTATATAAATAATGGTATGTAAAGTAAGCCCCTTTTGTCCTGAAAATAACAATATATAATTTGTATGGGAACAGTAAATGAGAGAGCGGAAAATTACAGCTAAACACAAACACCAGAAAAGTGTAAAAATATTCCTGGTCGCAAATGTACAACATCGCAAAAACAGTCCAGTCCTTAAAGGGAGACAGTGTGTGACTGTCATTGTGTGACTGTCATTGTGTGACTTTGTGTGTGTTTGAGAGAGACAGTGTGTGACTGTGAGTGTGTTTGAGAGAGACAGTGTGTGACTGTCATTGTGTGACTTTGAGTGTGTTTGAGAGAGACAGTGTGTGTTTGAGAGAGACAGTGTGTGACTGTGAGTATGTTTGAGAGAGACAGTGTGTGACTGTCATTGTGTGACTTTGAGTGTTTGAGAGAGACAGTGTGTGTTTGAGAGAGACAGTGTGTGTTTGAGAGAGACAGTGTGTGACTGTGAGTGTGTTTGAGAGAGACAGTGTGTGACTAACAGTGTGTTTCCTGCTTCTGTATCATGTGACCTCGGTAGTCTCGAGGATCCTGGAAGCTCATAGCTCCTTCAGCTGGAAGCTAACAAGCCACAACCAACGCAAAGCCACGCCCACCTGTCCATCTGCCCAATGAGCGCGAAGCAGGGTGTAGCTTGTCAGACGGAGACTCTCCAACTGCAAACCTTATGGCCGGTGACGTCACTGGGGTTGGAGAAACCGGAAGCTGTGTGTGTGAGAATTGTTTTGTTGCCTGTTCAGGTTTGTTGTGTGCAAGGCTGGTCCATAGGAGGCACCGGCTCAGCCTATAATAATAGTAATACTAATAATAATACCGTGCGGGTTATTAGTGTTTATTAATGTGCAGTCATAGAGCAGGGGGCATTCTGCTCACACATGTACTCTTACATGTCTAGTGATGTCCATGGTGTGTGATGTCCAGCCATCACTGAGGGAGTGAGTGAGTGACACATGGCTGTCTGCCAGGGGGGCTGAAGGCAGCACAGACAGGGCTTCCCAGGATCTCAGAGAGTGGGTGATTGCAGTTATCCTCAGCCCTCTCTCTGTATTCACTAATATATAAAATATAATAAATCACATTATTAATATCTGTCAGGTTTGCTGGGGATTGATATTTAATGTTGGATATTGTATGCTGTGTGATTGTATTTTGGTTTATGTAGCAAGGATGGTATAGAACTCTTATAGAGTTACAGTGATAATTAGTAAATTGTGTATTTATCAGAATTTTAGTGGCATGCTCTGAGCATGTCTGCCTCTGTGTAGCATAGGGGTGGTGTTGTTTATGCTATTGTCCTATTAATCCTGTGAAGGAGCCATCCACCTGACTAGCTTTCACAGACTCGTTTTAGTTAAGAGAAAAAGGAAAGGTTGTCATTTAGTATCCTTAAAATGCCATGTACCTGTGGGAACTGGAGAAGATGGATTCGGCCACTTGTTGTGTTGCTGTATGTCATTGGGCTCATAGTAGGAATTCCAGTATGTATTTGGCAACTTCAGAAAATGGAGGTACGTTTTCCTTTTATTCCAAGATGTTACTTAATAGCCCCATTACAAATAACATTTCACTTTCATATCCATGGTGTTTGGGGTATTACATGTAGGGAATTACATATACTGTGATTTTTATTTTTGTTATTACCTAGTATGCATTTTCTATAGTTTATCTATTTGTACTAGAATTTATTTTTCTTTGGCAAGTGGTTCAAAATTTGTTATGCATTTTCTGGTTTTGGCCTTCTTTAGAATGCTCTGATACTACTTCTTCAATATATGTTTTGTTTATTATCTAAACATGGTTATGGGCAATAAGTGTTGTTTAAGGCATTATTAATAAAATTATTTCTCAAACATTATTTCTAATAAAATTTCAGATCAATAAATGCTTGAAAACAAAAAGGCATTGCTTACATCTTATAAAATCAGACGTTATGTTGTTAATTGTGCAGAACACATTCCCTTTCATGGAAAATCTATATTAGTATCTGCATGACTTGTGTGTGTTTTGTTTCAAAAAGTATCTCTCTACATTTTTATATTCACACTTTTCACATTTCTTTACTTTTGTTGTTTCAAACCAAAAGGTTTAAACTTTATGGTTTTGTGGACACCCCTAATGTACTCTAGGGGCTGTATCATTCTCTTTTTTTTTTTTTTTCTTTTTTTTTTAAATATGTGCTGCAGCTATAAAACTACCCCCTGGATCAAGTGCTGCAGAGCTTTGTTCTGAAGAGCTCATTGAATTGAAGCGTGGTACTGTGATCGGATAACATATTTGCAATAAGTAAAGTTTGTGAAATTTCATCCCTGCTACATATTCCATGGTCAACTGTAAGTGGTATTATTGCAGAGTGACCATGTAAAGTCACAGAGTGCTGAGGCGAATATTGCGTTAAAGTCAACAAACCTTCTGATGATTCCGTAGCTGAAGCGTTCCAAACTGGCATTCATATCAGCCTCACAACTGTGCGGCAGGAGCTTCATGGAATCGGTTTCCATGGCCATGTAACTGCCTGCAAGACTCAAATCACCAAGTGCAATACCAAGCTTCGGATCAAGTTGTGTAAAGCATGCCGCCACTGTATTGGGGAGTTTGAAAGTCTGATGGCGGAGTCTGGAACGTGACAGGACAACGTTACCTGCCTGACATCGTGGTGCCATTTGTAAAGTTTGACAGAGGAGGGATAATGGTATGGGGCTGTTTTCAAGGGCTAGACTAGGCCTCTTACTCCCAGTGAAGAGAAATCTTAATGCTTCAGCATACCAAAGCATTTTGGATGATTCTATGCTTCCAACTTTGTGGGAACAGTTTGGGGAGGGCCCTTTTTTATTACAACATGACGGTGCCCCAATGCACGAAGCAAGATCCATAAATACATGGTTGGATGAGTTTGGTGTGTTAGAACTTGACTGGTCCGCACAGAACTCTTGACATTAACCCCATCGGACACCTTTGGGATGAACTGGAATGGAGATTGCATTGATGTCTGGCCTTCTCGTCCATCATCAGTACCTGATGTCACAAATGCTCTACTGGATGAATGGGTAAAAAATCCTACAGAAATATTCCACAATGTTGTGGAAAGTCTGCTCAGAGTTGAAGTTGCTATAGTTGCAAAGGGGGACCACTACAGATTAATATCTACACATTTAGAATGCAATGTCATAAAAGTCCCTGTTGGTGTAATGGTTAGGTTTCCCGATACTTTCGTCGATATAGTGTATGTGAATAAGCTGGTCTTTGCACTTAAGAACCTCTGACAAGTACTATCAAATAGTATTTTATCCATTATTTTTTGTATACATTATTGTTTTTGTGAGGTGGTCAAGAAAAGCTTCTCTCATAGATATGAGTTCCTCCTGTCAGTTAAAGGACCACTATAGTGCCCTGAGGGTGCCCCCTCCCGCCGGGCTCTGGGGAGAGGAAAGGGTTTAATCTTACCTTTTTTCCAGCGCCGGGCGGGGAGCTCTCCGCCTCCGATCTTCCTCTTCGGCTGAATTTGCATGCGCTGCATTCAGCCAGTCTCATAGGAAAGCATTCATAATGCTTTCCTATGGACGCAGGCGTCTTCTCACTGTGAAAATCACACTAGAGGCTTTAGAGGCTGGATTAACCCATTTATAAACATAGAAGTTTCTCTGAAACTGCTATGTTTTTATATAAAAAAAAGGGTTAATCCTAGAGGGACCTGGCACCCAGACCACTTCATTAAGCTGAAGTGGTCTGGGTGCCTAGAGTGGTCCTTTAAGATGTAACAAATGTTTTATGGCAACCCGAAACAACGTAATAAATCTGAACCTGCTGCGTTCTAACGTCCTTTTGGCTGGCATACTGTTTGGTGATACTTTTCAAGGGCTGAAAAGATCTAAGGGTAAACAAATACAGGGCTTTGGTTAACCCTTACTATATCATAACTTTGTTTAGGAGGACTCCTATATCCGCCTGACACTTATAAAAATCCAGATCAATAAATGCTTGAAAACAAAGGCATTGCTTACATCTTATAAAATCGGACTTTATGATGGTAATTATGCATAACATATACCCCTTCATGGAAAATCTATTTTAGTATCTGCATTATCTGTGTGTTTCTTGTGAACCTCTCCTGATTTTGAGCATGACCAGTGAGTCACTGAACATGCACCTATAATACCACATGTTCACAAACTTGAAAAAAACAGATCTGTTCCTACATAATTTGAGCAAAGTTAAAAAATGTTATGACCGGTAAAAATAATATAATGTGCAAAATATAATATACTAATAAGATATAAATGTTTTTCTGTACTAAAATACACCAGTAACTTTTTATAAGTTGCTAGCTTGTAGACAATGCTTTTAATGTTTCATAATTCTAAAAATGTTTTGTGAATCCAAAGTAATATTGAAACAAATACCAATTTCTTCTTGTTATTTGTTTGTATGGTCTATATAACAACAGCAAAAAATGATGTTACCTGTTTTATTTCTCTAATACAGGTTGGAGTACATACCAAGGCATGGTTTATTGCTGGGATTTTTGTACTAATGACCATACCAATTTCTCTCTGGGGAATATTGCAACATCTGGTTCATTATACACAGCCTGAATTGCAGAAACCAATAATAAGGTGATTCATATTACAAATATGTTCTGTTAAAAGGTTGATACGGGAGCAGGCAATGTCTGCTGTTCTCTACAGTTGACAGGTTCTCTTGTGATGTTCTGCAAGTCAGGTGACTGGCAGAGCATCATGGAATATGTCACCTACAACATCTGGAATGACAGTTGTTGCCTGCTCTTGCCCTAATGATAGCTAAACATTCCTTAACATATGCTTTTCTTTTCATAGGATATTGTGGATGGTGCCAATTTACAGCTTAGATAGTGTAAGTATTTTATCTTTATTAATATACAACATAACACGTTCCTGGCACTTATCGCTTGTTTGCTTTTATTTTTTATTGTACTTATTGTTATCATAAAAACACTTGTTCCTGGTTGTTGTACTAATAGGAAGTAAGTAGTAATTGCAGATTGAAAACCATTACTAATTTTAGGCTGAGTGCACAAGCAGGAAATATAGTTATTTGTAAATCTGTTAGCTACTTCACTACTAAGTCTGGACTGTTTTAAATCCTTAAGGACACAAGTTCAGAAGCTTGTCTTCACAAGTATTTTTTCCAGTATGTGTTTTAACTACAATTTGCATCATTCTCATTTATTGCACCAAAGCATATTATATACCATTATTTTAGAAGGACAAAACAGACTACAGGCTTTAATTTGATGTGACATACAGTGGGGGGGGGAGTATTTGATCCCCTGCTGATTTTGAACGTTTGTCCACTGACAGAGAAATGATCAGTCTATAATTTTAATGGTAGGTGTATTTTAACAGTGAGAGACAGAACAACAAAACAAAAAAATCCAGATAAATGCACGTCAAAAAAGTTATAAATTGATTTGCATGTCAATGAGGGAAAAAAGTATTTGATCAGTTAGCAAGATTTCTGGCTCCCATGTGTCTTTTATACAGGTAACGAGCTAAGATTAGGATTTCACTCATTGACATGCAAATCAATCTATAACTGTAGAGACGCAATTGCATGAGCTTCTCACTGTATTAGGCAAAAAAGTGACTTTTAGCCGAACTAAAACCGAGACAAAACCCAGCTAAAGCCTTACCTACCTCGGAAACGAGCAGCGAGGAACTACCAAGGGCAGAAGCTTGACTGAAGCCAACGAGCGGCACACTCTGAGGCATGCGTCCCGCTGACCACCGGGCGGGAGGGACGGCCGACCTCCCAGCTCTGAGAGGCACAGGGGCTTATAAGGTAGAGCAGGAAACCCGCTACCCCCTCCCCCTTTTTTCCAGCGCCGGGCGGGGAGCTCTCCTCCTCCTCTCCGCCTCCGATCCTCCTCTTCGGCTGAATGCGCATGCGCGGGGGTGATCCCAGTCCAACCCTGGGGGAACACTCTGACACACAGCAAAGGAGGGACAGAATGACTACAGCTATGGGAGCACATCTTCCGACCCAGCCAACATGTTGGATGCCACGAGGCACCCAGACCCTGCAGCAGTGTGGGCAGTCATCGAGGTAAGACTGGACAGAGCTTTCGCAACCTTCTGGCGCAACCTGGAGGAGAGGATGCAGCTCTATGCCCAACAGCAGCCAAATGAACACTCGCTTCCACCACCGCCACTAAACAAGCGATGGACACCTGTAGTCTCAGCATGGATGAAGGGCCCAAAATGGCCGCGAGGCGGGAAGTTCCCATTGCAACAGCTGAAAGCAGCACGCAAAGCACAGTCACTCGAAACCAAGCCGGGGACCCATGGAACATCCACAGTAAGTGCTGTAGCACCAGCAGCCACTGCGGTGACCCACTGCACCGGTACAGAGGCGAAACGAATATTCATCCCTCCAGCCCGTGAATGGCCCCCAAAACAAGGCCTGGGGCTGGAAAGCGACCATGCAACGCCCCTGCCGAGCAATACTTCAGGACTACACACACCTGTTTCCAAGTCTCGGCGTGGGCTGAACGAGACCCCCTGGGTCTGGGACTGACAACACGTTTCCTACCATGGAGACACTCTACCGACAAGATCTTGTCTTACCGTTGAAATGCCTGATTTGCCTGAGGTTTCCTTACATTTGTTACTTGCTGAAGGGTATTGCCTACCGCTGATCAGGTAGAATCACTTACTCATTATCACAACACTAAACGCCTGAACTCACTAGTTTATTCATTGCAATGTCTCTTGAATGCTTCATATGTTCAAACCTTACAAATGTGAGGTAGGCTGAACTTGATGGACGCAAGTCTCTTTTCAGCTATGTAACTATGTAACCTTACTAACGCTTTAAAAGTGTGCACGAACTGTCAAACAACACAATTGTTGCTAAACATATGTTGAATCTCTGGCACCAGCTGTTGTGGCAATGCCGACTTAAATGTACCATGTATAATCTATGCACAAACAAAATAAAGAATTATAAAAATAAATAAATAAGCCTACCATTAAAATTATAGACTGATCATTTATGTGTCATTGGGCAAACATTCTAAATCAGCAGGGGATTAAAATACTCCCCACTCCCCCTCACTGTATACAAATAATCATTATTTATATAAAACAAACACAAAATAAGAAACCCCCCACCCCACAGTTTTGGCAATAAAGTTTGCATAGCAAGCAGCAGCTTAAGCGATATAAGAAAGCAGTTTAAGAAAAATAAATTGATTTAGTTGTTCTGATTTACAGAGTACATCATGTGTAGGATATCGGTTTATTTTTGGTAGTTACAGGTCACAAAATACAGGGAGTAAAATAAAATTTCAATGTAGAACGATTTTAGGATATGTTATGCTTGTCTTGTTTTCTTAATAGCCATCAGAGAAAACCAAATTGCCATACAAAAGTATATATTTATATGAAGCAGACATCACAGGCTGTTTACATAACGGTATTTTGACACTTTTTATGTAACCATTTTACTGCCAATCTCTGATAAATACTGTAGTAAAATAGTTTTTTGTTTTTCTGATTTTTAACATACACATATTTTGTAGACCTTGTCTATTTCGTAGACCTGGTGTGTATTACTCTTGTAGAAAACATCATTGTGTTCATCTTTTGAGTAAAATTATACTCCCAATGTATGCCTTTGCTACTATCCTGTGAAGTTACAGTGCCAAAAGAGACCTGACCAGTTCAGTTTTTACAGTTAGAATTTTGATAGATACATTTGTTCTAAGTCTCATTTTGGTGACTTGTAGCAGTTTGAATGTTGCAATTACCAGATAAAGGTCTACCATTTGTGAAAGAAGACACTCCGGGGTATCTCATATAATGTATTTTGTGCCTTAATGTAATTAAATATGTTTTCACCAGTTTGTCAAACTTTGTGGTAAAATGTTTTTGCTTTTTTGCATTTTTTTTTTTTTTTTTACATACACATTAAATTTTTTCTGGCTTTAAAAAAAAAAATAAAAAAAAAATGTGCCATTGTGATCAACCCCCCAAAAATTATGTTTAGCAAACCCCTCTGAATAAAACAATATCTCCAATGTATGTCTTTGTTACTATCCTGTGAAACTACAGTGCCATATAAGAGTACTGGCCATTTCAGGTTTTACAGTTAGACCCATCCAATTTACCTATCAACATTCTATATCTCATTTTGGGGCATTGTAGCAGTTTGACAGTTAAATGTAACACAAGTTTTATTATACAGCCATTTTAGCATAATTTTTTCCCCCAAGTTTTAAAGTATTTTATTTTTGCAATTTTTACATGCACATTGCACTTTAGCAGTTAACTTTGTAAACTTGATGTATTTTGCTGTAAAAAAAAAAAAAATCACTAAATTATGTTCAGCTATATTTCCTGAGTACATAATGACTCCCTTTGAATACCTTTGTCACATTTTTAAGAAACTAAAGGGCTGAAACTATATCCTGCACATTACAGTTTTTTGGGGGGGAAAATGGCAAATTGAAGGTGGGTCTTTGATGCATTCTAGGAGCTCATCTGTCAGTCTGGGGCCACTAAATGAAGTTGTCTGGGTGCAATGTCCCTGACTGAGTACTTTATAAATTACAGATGGGGTAACTCATGTGACCTAGGTTAACAGATGTATGTCACAGGCTTTGTGTGCTTCAAGTAAGTGTTATGCAGCTAACTATAGGCAGCTGTCTCAATGTATACGTTATCTCTGGATCTATTTTACTCCATTTAATTATTTTGTTTATAAACATTTTATTCCATATTTTACATAATAAAACATAGAGTATATGAAAAACAGCTTGCAAATGCTGCTTGCAAGACAGTCTGTACCAAGGAATTCACCAATCAGAGGATTCAAATCCGTGAAAAAAAGATTTAGAAAAAAAGATAAATGAATGCAGTGGTATGCAACCTGCAACCATGGAAATAATACCATGGTGACATCAGTGTAGAAAGATGCTGAAGATGTTACATATGCACTAAGCATTCACAGGCTATATGGAACATATATGAATACAATGGCATTTAGTACATGAATATTCCTAACAGTGATATAGTAGGGCAATAGCATACATTGTATTCTAATTATATCGGCTGTTTGTTTTTTTTTGTTTGTTTTTTTTTTTTTTTAATGCTCTGTTAGCTGGGTAAAAGTCAATTCATTCAAAAGTTGTTTTTTTTTTTTTTTTACTTCTCTGTTTTGCCTAAAATTTTCAGAACCCTCATCATAGTGTCACATTTCCTGGTTTAAAAGACAACTCTGATCAATATGTCACGTGTCCTTTTCTAAACAGTTATTACATTTAATGAAACTTAATGATTTATTTATTGTTATGCATGATGTTTTCTTGAGACAGTATTTCACTTTGTATCTGGCTAAGCAGGCATGTTGAGTCAGACTGTGCTGTTATCTGAGAAGTGTAGCTGAACATTAGCTGCCCAGCCAGATAGAAAACATTTTCATCTTCATGGAAATTAAGTTGTTATGGTGCCAGGAGGTCGTTGGCTTGCTTTGTAAGTCAACTCTCCAGCCCTGTGTTGCTCTTCCCCCCCCTCCAATATCCGTTATTTGAATTTTTTTATTTTTTTTAGAACAGAAGCCTCATAGGGGAACTGCTTACTGACTTAGAGCAGTTAACTGAAAATATAAGTCAGTCAGTAGCTCCCCATCCACAAAACGGCTTGAGAAACATAAGTAACTCAAGCCGCTTTTTATGACTAGTGAGCTGCTGATTGGCTTATAGCTGATCAGCAGTCTGAGGAATCCGCCTTGAATATTTTTATAAAGTGAAAGTTGGAAAGAGCAGAGTGAAACAGGTTTTAACCCTTAAAAGTGAGCAGCACCAGGGACTTTAATGTACCATAACAACTGTATTTCAGTGAAGTTGTTATGGTGTCCAGAATGTCCCTTTAAATGGAATAAACATTTAGAGAAGTAAAACTGTAATGACAGCTGTCATTTTAAATAATAAAGCTTTAACTGTGTAATCACAACAGAAGTAAAGATGATATAACCCACAGCCCCCAGAGATGCAGCCTACTGCTGAACTAATTTAATAACCAACTAGGTTGGTACAAATCGTATTTCATTGCTGGAGCCAAACTTTTTGTTCACTAAAGTTTCCCTCTTCTTATTTCTAATGTAGTGGATTGCTCTAAAGTACCCTGATATTGCAATTTACGTGGACACCTGTAGAGAATGCTATGAAGCGTATGTCATCTACAACTTCATGATTTTTCTTTTAAATTATCTAACGAATCGTTGCCAAAACCTTGCCTTGGTTCTGGAAGCCAAAGATCAGCAAAGACATTTACCACCTCTGTGCTGTTGCCCACCATGGGCAATGGGAGAGTGAGTATTAGAAATTATTTTATATGATTACTTTGCAATGTGAGAGTGCTTGGGTGCTAAAGTTTAGCCAAAATATAAATTTCAAACCGAGCATGCAATCACAGATTTTCTGTGGCTAAATCAGTAGCAGTAGTGTTCAATATTTCAGTCCCAGTTTTGAAGTTTTTTTTTTTCTAAAGATTTCATAAGTCCTTTGACAGGTTTGAAATGTTAAACATTACTACCTTGTAACCAGGTCAAATTTGATTAATAAAATCATCTTGTTCACTACATAGGATCGTGTGTGTGTGTGTATTTTGTAGTTTGAAAAGAATCTGCTTTGATTCTGATTGTGCTATATAAATTGTGGTATGTCTGTTAATTTGACCAACTCTGCACTAAATATATGAGCAGGCTCTTTGGGTTGCTGTTAAAGAAATGTTTTCCATATTCTGTCATTCTGCATTTTGTAAACATGCATGTGTATGTCTTGTTACAGTGTGTTGTTATTCAGATGCAAATTGGGTGTGCTGCAATATACAGTTGTTCGACCAGTCACCACCATAATTGCATTGTAAGTATGAAGAAGAAAAAACAAAGCATGAAAGTAATTGTGTTTTCCAGGACTGGGTCGTGACTGCAAATTGGGGCGGGGGTGGGGTGAGGGGGGATTTTATGTTTTTCTTTTTGCATCTTGTCTATTTTTGTAACTTTTCTGCAGGAAAAACGTGTACAGAGTGGGTCAATCATTGTAATAGCCCATATGGGTATTTTATTTTCTAAAAATTTATGTCAATTTGTCTATTTCCTTCTGAATTACCCATCCATCACAGTAAAGCCGTTATGTTCTATTCTCCTTCTGAGTGTGCTGTACCTATTGAAGACACATTTTATTTTCATTCAATGACATGTGGTCATATACCGGTAAGTCGCATTGTGCAGTCATGGGGAAAAAGAAGGTACATCCTCTTTAAATTCTATGGTTTTCCATATCAGAACCTAACAATCGGTTCCTTAGCAAGTCTTAGAATTCGGTAAATACAACATCAGATGAACAACAAGGCATGACATATTACACCTTGTTACAATTTATTTAACAAAAATAAAGCCATGGGTGAAAAACTAAATAACACCATTACTGCTTCCATAGGGATTGAGAGGCTAAGTGGCAGACAGGTGCTGCTAACCAAACGACCTTGATTAATTGATCGTCAGCAATTGTAACCATCTCTATAAGAGCCAATGTTTTAGCATTTTGCTGGTCTAGAGCATTCATGTATGTGTTAACACAATGCCAAGGTGGAAAGAGATTGGCAATGATCTTTCAGGAGTGGACGTCCCACAGATTCACCCCAAAGTCGGACTGTACAATGCTTAGAGAAATTACAAAAAACTCAAGCGTTAAATCTTTGACTCTACAGGCCTCTGTTGGCATGTTAAAGTTCTTGACAGTACAATTAGAAAAAGACTAAGCAAGTATGGTTTGTTTGGCAGGGTTGCCAGGAGAGAGCCTCTTCTCTCTAAAAAAACCATAGCAGCACAGCCTAGGTTTGCAAAGCTGCATCTTAACAAACCAGAAGACTTCTGAAACAATGTCCTTTGGACAGACGAGAAGTGAAGTGGAGATGTTTGGCCATAATGCACAGCGCCACGTTTGGCAAAAACCAAACACCGCATACCAACTCATACCAACTGTCAAGCACCGTGATGGAGGGATGATGATTTGGGCTTCTTTTGGAGCCACAGGGCCTGGGAACCTTGCAGTCGTTGAGTTGACCATGAACTCCTCTGTATACCAAAGTATTCTAGAATCATCTTTCCAACTGCTTGGCCAAAATTAAGTTGTGCAACAGGACAATGGTCTCAAGCACACCAGTAAATCTACAATCGAATGAAATCCGGGTAATGCAATGGTCCAGTCAAAGCCCATACCTCAACCCGATTGAAATGCTGTGGTGGGACCTTAGGAGAGCTGTGCATAATCAAATGCTAGCTAACGTCAAAGAACTGAAGCAACGTTGTAAAGAAGCGTGGGCCAAAATTCCTCCCCAAAGATGTGAGAGACTGTCATACAGAAAATGATTAATTCAAGGTATTGCTGCTAAAGGTGGTCTTATAAGGTGTACTTAGTTTTTCACACATGGCTTCTCCATATTGGCTTTATTTTTGTTAAATAAATTATGACCATGTGTAATATATCGTGTGTTGTTGTTCATGTGAGATAGTATTTACCTAATTTTAAGACCTGCTAAGGAACTAATGGTTTGTTATTGTGTCCTGATATGTAAATCCATAAAATTCTAAGTTGGTATAGTTTATTTTTCCCATGACTGTATTTCTCTCTAGTAACCCAGTTTATAAATAAATAATTATTTGGTTAGTCATTCTATTTTTTTGACCATATATGTTTTCTAAAGTTCAAATGGCTCTGCTTGTATTTCATAAATAGATGTTCATTATATGGGTTTTAGAAGGTACACTTGTTACAATTTTCCTTGCCATAAGGATACTTATTAAAACTAAAATTCCTGCAGTGTAAACTCTTGTTAACCAAATAGCCAATACCCTCTGAAAAGCCTTCTCCAATTAACCAGTCTGAGGCCGGATTAGTGAAAGTATTAGATTGCGTCTTTATTGCAATAGATCAAAAGCAGTTTGAGAGCATACATATTAAGATCCTGAATATATACATGATATCAGTGAAAAAGAATTGTCTATTCTCCAGGAACAGGAAAACAGACTCTTCTCATTGGGAGTAGGATTACTCCTCCACCTGCTGGTCTTGAAATGTTTAGTTGCAAACCTTGAAAGTTTTGTTACAAAATAATTATGTTGCTGAGCATACTCTTTGGCCTATTAATCCTTCTATTACCAGACAGCAAGCTTATCCCATATATAAGTTGGAATAACCTGGTTTGCATTTTAGTGTTACAAAATATATATTTATAAATCTTATCGTTAAGGCTCTCTTAACATATTTGCCACATTCTAATAAGTATTGCAAATATTGAAGATCACAAAGCCCTAAACAGAATTCATTTTATATACTTATTTAACCCCTTAAGGACACATGACATGTGTGACATGTCATGATTCCCTTTCATTCCAGACCTTTGGTCCTTAAGGGGTTAAAGGATCACTATAGGCACCCAGACCACTTCAGCTTAATGAAGTGGTCTGGGTGCCAGGTCCATCCAGGGTTAACCCTGCCTAGGGTTAACCCTGTCTGCTGGATTAACCCTGCCACTTACAAATGGGTTAATCCAGCCTCTAGTGGCTGTCTCATTGACAGCCGCTAGAGGCGCTTCCGCACTTCTCACTGTGATTTTCACAGTGAGAAGACGCCAGCGTCCATAGGAAAGCAGACTGACTGCGTGCGCGGCTCTTGCCGCGCATTCAGCCGATGTTGTTGGAAGGAGGAGAGTCCCCAGCACTCGAGGGAGCCCGGCGCTGGAGAAAGGTAAGATTTTAACCCCCTCCTCCCCCTTCAGCCCGGCGGGGGGAGGGGGCTATTAACACTATAGTGCCAGGAAAACGAGTTTGTTTTCCTGGCACTATAGTGGTTCTATAATAGTTTCCATGCATCCACGTTGGTGGCTTTTTAAATTTTTTATTACATCATAGTTAAAACGGTTTCCTAATAAGAATTCTTGAAAGTAAGGTTTTATTTTTTTCTTACAGTTGGAGAACTTGTGACTAGAAATTAGATTGCATATGATTTGCATACTGCATTATTCTGGTTTCTAGCATTATTTGAATTTGTTTCTTAAGGAAGTTTTATCTCCTAAAGATAAAGAGTATTTAATATGTATAGTTTCCAATTCGCCTTCCTCTATTTAATGAACATAATTTGTTTAGGGTATATGTTTTCATACATCAGGGTGATGCAACATTAGCCTGCTGAGGTATTCTTCAATGTTTTATCAAAGCTCTATTTTACATCTGCAATATTCTGCCTCATGGTATTTTTTATTCATCTTCTTTTTTTTTTTTTTTTATACGTACAGATTTGTGCAGCAAAAACATTGAAACATTCTCACTACCTTATAGCACAGTGTTTGCCACACTTGTCCTCTTAAAAAGTCAAAAACGTCTCTGGTCACAACAGTATAGCCACCCTCCTTTCTGATGCGTGTGCTGATGTGTTCACATGCAAGCATTACCAGGTTCTTTCTTACATAGACATAACATGATCTATACAGGAAGAGAGAAGGATAGAAAAAGGGAGGCTGTATAGAATGTGAAAGAATTCTAGACAGAACATGAAGGGTATGCGTGGTATTATTCTCTACTCCATAGAAGACTTGCCTGTCATTTCGCAATTCTAAGGCATTCTTTATAGAGCAAGAGAGTACAGTTACAATGTTTTAGAGTGAAATAAATCTCACAAAGGGTTATTGTATATTTAGCTCATGTTCTGTCATTTGGAGAAAACACTGTTTTATATATATTTTTTTCAATCTAAACTCTTTGACAAATAATAATCTTTTTACGTTTGTCAGTTTTTGCAAGATGAATGTGCTTCAGTTATTTAAAAAGAGTAGTTGTTGGACAACACTACATGGAAACCATGTCTGTGCTAATAGCTTCACTTTTAGAATGTAGACCCATATATTATCACTCTATTATGACTTACTGTAAGTGTGCATATTGGGTTAACCCTTTTGTCTCATTTTAGGATATGTCAGTTGGCTGGTGTTTATGGTGAAGGCGACTTCAATCTAAAAAATGCATGGACATATTTGGTTATTATCAACAATGCATCACAACTGGTGAGTTTCAGGCAGGGGTGTTTCTAGATTTCAAAAGGCTTCAGCCCAAGCAATACATGATGTACCCCAACTCTACCCTGGCTCTTCTCATGACTTCATCTCCCCCACACGATTCAGCAGGTATCTACCATCGTGCAGGTTTGCATTTATGTCGATTTTGGGCAATAAAAACCAAACTTGAGGTCAGTTGTGCAGGAGCTCTCTAAAGACAATTCTGGCCAGCTTGACTGTCAGGCCCCGTCCCCCAGGTGCTCTGAGAAATTACCTGCCAATGAGTTTAGTTCCACTACGCTAAAAACCAGGAAGTAACAGAATCATTTGCCAACTTACCACATAAACTTGAGGTAATATATGCCAAAGAGAACTCGTGAAGAGGTTGTGAAATAAATAATAAGCACGGTCTTAAAGGAACATTATAGCGTTAGGAATACAAACGTGTATTTCTAATGCTATAGTGTTCTCCTAACTATGTATGTGAGTTTCCGTGTGGTTTCAAAGGTGAGTTTTACTTACCTTTTCTCCCTCTTGGCATTGGTCTCGCCATGGCTACTCCGCCACATTGGCTGAGATCATCAAGTTTGATGATCTCAGCCAATCTCATGCTTCCCCATAGGGAAGCATTGTGAGGCTATTGCACATGCGTGGCAAATCACCACTCTGTGTCAATAAAATGTTCTCTAGAAACAGCATTTGATTAAGAACTGAGTTTAACTTGGTTCTCACAGTGTAAGTGCCTCTAGTGAGTGTAAGGAAGACAGTCACTAGGAGGTGTGTTTAAACTTGCAATGGAAACATTGCAGTTTGTATATAGCGGGGTTCAAACTAAAGTGCCATTGCATCCATCCTACTTCAGTTGAGATAAAGGGGTTTGGGTGCCCTTAATGGTCATTTAAGCAAATAGGAATTTAAAAAGGTTTTGCTTTTCATTCTTCTTCCCCATAGACTTTTTTTATTTTTGCCTATTTGCGTTGTCCTTTGTTTTCTCCTAATTGTTTAAGTATTTAATGCATGTTCTGTATTTTATCTTTTTGTACATGGAAAAAGTTTGTTAAGCAAATCTCTTTACAAATTGTCTGCCTTTTTCTTTTTCTAGTTTGCTATGTATTGCCTTGTCCTGTTTTACAAAGTTCTGAAAGAAGAGCTAAATCCAATTCAACCAGTTGGCAAGTTTCTCTGTGTGAAAATGGTTGTCTTTGTGTCATTTTGGTAAGCAGATTTTGTAAGTGTTTGTACAAATTTCTTCAGCTATCTATACAGCACATCTCCTTATGTGATCAATTTAGAATTTTCACAGAACAGATGTCTCTCCAAGAATGCAAGATCCAGACCTTGTTCACTCTATCTAACAATGTCTGGATTTTCCAGAAAAGCCACCAAATGAGCGAGTACTTAAACATGTGGCCTCTATTAAAATGTAAAAAATAAAAAAAAATAAAGTAAGCCTATGGGAGTCATTATGGCCCCCATATTACTATAAGTGAGGTTGTAGACCTCCCTTATGCCCCCACCTGTGGCATATCTACAAAATATAAAGGCCCTATGCATTAGGGAATTGTGGACAGCCGGTGGGGGTGATTACACAAAAAAACAACAGGGAGGACATCCTAATGCCCCACCTGTTGGTGGGGACTACTTAAACTGGGGGCTGACCTAGTGTTCCCCCACCAGCCGATAAGTGTCGGGTTGGGTCTATTCGTTTAATATCGGGGTGGACCTGTTGCCTGTGTTCACCTATGGGTGCAGTTGCTGGTGGACGACTTTAAATAAATATACAAAATTGCCTATAAGTCAGGAGTGGGAGCATAACGGATGTTTACATCCCATCTTATAGTAATATGAGGCTATATTGGACCATAGGCTTATTATTTTATATTTATTTTTATACTTTTTAATGTGGCTGCTAGCTAGTAAGCGCTGGCCAGCCACCACATGATCACTCATCTCATTAGATGAGTGTGCAGGAAAGCAGTATAGTGGGAAGATGAGAGGAGAGTGGACTAATTATGTTAGAAAAGAAGGGGCAAAAAGCTTAAAGGAATAAAAATGACTCGGAGGCTGTTGGCTTTCCTGAAGAGGTTAGTTTGGGGTTTTTTTTGTAAAGGACTGAAGGATTGAAGACTAGGGGAATGTCCTATGAGGGAAGTAGGCTACAATTAGAAATTCTGTAGATGAGAATTAAACAGACAGTGCCCAATCATCGGCTTCTCCCAGTTGCCTTTTTTTGTTTGAGGGGGGGGGAAAAAAAAGACAAAAAAACCTGAAGGACGATCACTGGATAACTGGGAAAGCTTTGTTCTTCTAAGGCTGGCTTCCCCAAACTGTGGCCCTCCAGATGTTGCTGAACTACTTTGATTCTCAGCCTATCTATTTCATTCATAGAATCATGGGAGTTGTAGTTCAGCAACATCTGGAGGGCCGGAGTTTGGGGAAGCCTGTTTTAAGGGTTGAGGTGAGTGTGTCGCCCATTGCCTACTGACATCAACTTTTCAACTTACAATGACTCATGTAGCAATGACTCATGTAGCTGCTCCTCATTATTCATTAATACAAGATTGCAAAAGAAAACCAATCCATCACCATTCTAATACAAAGTTGTCTCACTTATTTTTTTTATTATAATTTTTTTTTTTAATAGGGATGTCCTCAGGTAATTATGACAAGTTGGCAACTCAGATTTGTCATGGCAAAAGTAGCTGATGTTGCCTAGTCTTTAGGCTAGGCAGTATTGTAACCATTCTCCCCCCTCCTCCCTCCCTCCCCCCCCCCACATTTATTGGCATGTTTGAATGTTCCCCCCACATAGTTTTTCATGAATTACAAACCGTCTTATAAATGAGCATCAGACGTCCTAAACAAAATTTCAACTGGGAAAATTATTTGTACAAACGAATAATCGCACTGTCCACACGTCTAATCCACACAGAGGAAAAACAAATACATGGTGATCCTGAATTAATTGCACAAAACAAGGTTGTTTACCCATGCATAAAACATAATATAGGCTTATGAGTTTTTATTTTGTTTTTCACTCAGGCAAGCTGTTTTTATTGCACTGTTGGTGAAGGTTGGAATTATATCAGATAAAAACACCTGGGAGTGGAAGAATGTTAAGGATGTGGCTACAGGACTACAGGTAAATGAATTACAACAGACTGACCATGAACTGCTCCCTTTATTTCAGTGACCACTGTTGATCAGCATCTTCCACTGTATCCACTCTCCGTATCGCCTCTTTTTAGCAATCTCCGAAACGTAGCCACTGAGGTCACCAAGAAACTATAATACATTTAAAGACCAGATTCAGGAAATCTTCTTCTATATGTAATGAGCAACAGCACCTTCTTTGCCATGCAAAAAAACCTTTATTGCACTGAAAAAGATGCCAAAACAGGGGATCAATAAATCCAGGTCACAGCTCCTCCTGGATTCATTGGCACCCTGTTTTGGCACCTTTTTTGAATGCAGTGAATGCTCATTAATTGTAGAATGGGAAGTCCTGAATTTGGTCTTCAAATGTATTACAGGGCTGCCGGTAAAACTTAACCTTATGTTGATCAGTTGTTTTAGTACATTAAGGTTAAAAAATGCCAATGTATTTTTACTTGGGTGTCACTGTTTTCATGTGCTGTTGGCTTACATTTTTTAGATCTGTGGGATTTATTCACTAAGCAATGAACTGGGGCAAGTTAACAAGTAACTACTGAAAAAGCAGAGTTGAAATCCTCCCATCTCAACTATTCGCAGTAGCAACATTGCATTGCTTTAACAATTTAACTCTACCTACTTGCCAATGTTGTGGCATAATTTTGTAAAAAAGAAATACGCTAAATAAACAAAAGACAACATGTTTCTTGACTCATAAGCAGTCCAGTAAGCCAAAGTGTGTTTTGGTTCTTAGAGAGGGACATTTTAAAGAAACATAAACTATACTTTTATTACATTTTGTATTGTTGGGAATTCAAAATTAATTTCAAATTTAAGGACAATTATTCCAGGCGAATTTGGCCTTAAATTTGAAATTCCCTATGGATTCCTGGTAAATAACACTGATAATATATAACCCATATTCTGACGCCATATTTATAAACCGCGCGTTCGTTACAGTTCAGTACATTTGTTCTCTCATATGAGTGATAACACCAATGAAAACAGTTGTGGCTCACTGTTTTCAAATTCTATATATTCTTATAGCTAGAGGAAATAAGTTATGCCATATTATTATTTTTTAATTTTGTTTTTCTCCTTCTCCACTCATCCTAGGATTTTGTTATTTGTGTTGAAATGTTCTTGGCTGCCATTGCCCATCATTTCAGTTTTTCATATAAGCCTTACGTGCAAGAGGCAGAGGAAGGCTCTTGTTTTGATTCCTTTCTTGCTATGTGGGATATTTCTGATATTAGAGCAGATATATCTGAGCAAGTGCGCAATGTTGGTAAGTACATTTGTTTTTGTCTTATTTTGATGACTGCATATGTGTTCTTCATTCAAAAAATGTTTTAATATAGAAACAGTCCACACAAAAATAAACTGTGACCTCTCAAAGCCCTGTTAACTTCTATGCAGTCACTTTAACAGCAAAAGGAATCGCATAGAGTCTTAAAGAATGGTCTCTGCAGCCTGGTCTTTCACCACAGCTCGCTAAATAAATATTATATTGTTGTGGGGCAGCTTACCTATATTGTAGTCCATCGATGAATATATACTCTTCCCTTAGACATGGCCCGACCATTACTAATAAAGGCTCACTGCCACAGTCAAGCTCCTGCACAAGCATGGACTGCTCCCATCCCCCCCAGCTCACACATAAAGAGGGTTCAGTTCAAGATCACGCATCATTACAATCTACTGGGAGCGGGTATATCCCCAAGGGGACAACTCTGGACCACAACTTGGCATAGGCCCTCTCAGCACCCTCTGGGGCACAACTCCATGTTGCCATTTATTATCCCATCATTTTCTATAACATAAAACCCCCTCATTCTACATTTCCATCTGGTCATTGACATGTTTTGAAATCTCTCATGTTTACTCAACATCATTATTTGTTATTGTTACTTTATAACCATACTAAGTGATGTGCGTGTTACATGCTCATCTATTCTGTACTCCCACGTGGAATGAGAAAATAAAGAATAAAAAAATCATGCTCTTAAGTGGCACCCTTTTTAAGAGGGCTCCTGCTTGGGAATCCCTAAATCCCTGGCTCCTATTCATTATAACAAAAAAATGGCTTCCCTTCCTAGTTCAGTCCCCACTCTTATCATGAGGAAGAAGGCATTTCTACTCAACCATAAATAAAATAATAAACCATGTAAAAATATAATGTGATTTAACACTTGCTTTTCTAGCATTGTCAGAAAAAGATTGGTTGTTCTCAATTGTCAAAAGGGATGCTGTCAAAATAAATACAGACCCTCCAACCCATTGGCTGGAAAGTAAATGACTGAGGCCTTATGCTCAGTACAGAAGTGTTTGCATAGCCCTATCTCATTATGTTGACCATGTCCTACAATGTGATTGACTATATGTACATTTCTATGTAGCTATGCGCTGGCAGTTGCATAGCAGAAAACTGATAATATTATCAACTGTTTTATTACACTTTGCTTCCATTTACATAGACGAGGTCAAACTTTGCATTTTTTTTCCTGGCTCCGCCAGGCAACACATGCATTATTAACAGTATTTTTTCTATATTTGGACAATGAATAACCTACGTAGGCAAAATTGATGTATTGGAAAATGGAGGACAAAACACTATTCAAAACAGTGCTGAGTACAACCAAAGGGTTACTCATCAAACTGCAAAGTAGTAATTACTGGCTGCTAGATGCAGTTCTATTTTTTTATATAATATAAAGGAACTATAATGAAATACAAACAAAACACAAACAGGGTCATAAGTACTCAGTGTTTTGTGTACCTTTATAGTTAATTTTTGTAATGTAAGACTTAATAAAGAACCTCAGATTAACTTTTTTTGTGTGTGTGTTTACATTTTATTACTGTGCTCAGGTTTGCTAATACTTCTATATTTGATATAAAGATATTTTATCTTTGTCAAATATATTTTATTAGAGTTTTTTTTTTTCTTTCATATATTGTAATAAACAATGAACAATTGTAACATATACAATAAATATTAATGGGATGTGGAAACTGGGAGAAAAGGGGGATATAGCCCCACCCCTTTTAAACTCCTGAGTCATGATTGACACGATTTACATCTTCTATGCAATGTGCTGTGGAAACCAATGTAAATTAAATGCACGATCTTCTAATAAAAGTCTGCTTTGTGACAAAACTTTTTACAGTGGCAAAAATAATTTAAGTGTTTCATTTATTAGGTTTCTCATGTCACAGGCTGTTTTAGCTGAGCAGCTATTTTTTTTATTTTTTTTTTATTTTAGTTGTACATAGATGATGCCAACACGTTTGCAATGTCACATATATATATATATTCTCTGTACATCAAAATAAAGAGTAAAACATTACTTTAAATAATATATATCGATAATAGCATTATGTAAACATAAATAAATGATACATAACTATTTACAAACAATACATTTTCTTCCCATGTATTCCAGTAGTATAATAGCTTATTTAATAAGGGGGTGGTTGTCTTATGGCCAATTCATATGTTTTATTCTCTAGTGTCAGGTCAGAATTTCTTTAATTGACAGTAATTTGGGAAATTTCCAGTATCGGGGTAGTGAACAAGTGGCAGCAATTAAAATATGTCCTATAATTATTTCGTTTATTTTATTTATGGAACGAGGAAAATTTTTAAATAAGCCTAATTCTGTCATAAAATAAGTAAAAGATGGGTTCATGTTTTGAATTAATGCATGTATATTTCTTATAAGGGAAGATTATTATTATTATTATTATTATGCACTGGTGGTGGGATTTATATGTTCTGTATATGTTCTAGTACAGTTCCTTATTTAATTGGTTAAATATATGCTTGGTTAGCCTTATAAGTTACCATTTTTTGTCTCCTTTTGAATTATTTTTTTATTTTCTTTGCTTTCCATATAATATGGCAGTGTAATCACCGGTTCTAAGTTAGGCATTTTTACATTTGCAGGACGGACAGTTTTGGGCAGACCTCGGAAGATGTTTTTCACAGATGACTTAGAACAAAATGAACACACTAGCTTGCTTTCTTCATCTACTCAGGATCCATTGTCTGCAGCCTCCTCTATGCCGCCTTCTCCATCAGGACACTACAAAGGGTTTGGCCAGACAATAACACCTCAAACTACACCTACTTCTGCAACCGTCCCAGAGGAACTCTACAGTGCTGACACTCCTGACCAAGATACTCAGGTGCCAGTGACTGAGGATAGTGAGGAGGTCTCATTTGAAAACATCAAGCATTTAGAATCCTAACAACCCAGACATTTTTAACAGAGAATTGCCAAATGTTCTAATGGCCAGAGTTGGTTCAGGTTGCAAAAACAGGAGGGGAAAAAAAATGGATCCCCAGCGGTTATATTTATTTTATCTGCTGCTTACATAATTTTCTGACAAATGGAAGTCTGGTTAAAGTCAATGTTGATTCCGAAAGCAGTAAGGATGATAATAATATGGTTGTACCTGGTGTTTTGTTTTTTTAACTATATTTTTGTCGTCATACACCTCCAGTAATGACCTGTTGTGAATAAAATACAGCTATTTATATATTACTTAATAATACAGCGCATTTAAGCCTCAACTTCCTCAGACCATCAAATAACTGCATTCTATGGCACAAAGCACAAACAGATTTAAATATATATACATTGCTTAGTATCTGTTTATTGACAGCAACCTGAAAAGATGCACAATATCTGACATTTTGACGCTGTGGTGATGACATGAAAAAGGGTTTAATAGTTTGGGTAAAAACAAAATTTTAGGAGCATTATAGTATGTTTCTGACCAAGTTATTTGTTCAAATATTATTCATCATTATAAATTATTTTGTACATGGTCACTCTCCTCCTTCCTCACAATTATGTATGTATTGTCCAAATCTTTTAATGTAGTATTTGGTTTTGAGAAAGACTTTAACTTGTATGGGATATTAGTTTTTTGATCTGTTTGATATGGCTGCTGGTAAGTGTAAACATTGCTTTTAGAACCCAGTGGAAGCCCCATTGTATAGGTTCCCTTGGGTATAAATGGGGCTAGAGTATATTGCAGTACAGAGTGAACTTCAAAGGTTAATAGCAGCCAATATGTAATGTTGATGTTACAATATTTCTATCGGCATATTTTTGGACAACAACGTATTAGGGGTTTCAAATTAATTTTCGATATTGTGGCTTTGTATCTGTTTTTTATGTTCCTCAAAACCATACTATTAATAAAATGAGCTTAATACAATTGAATAGTTAAATCTATAGGCTTAAAGTGTAATTTCTGTAGAAGCTTGCAATTGGATAGAAAGTGACCATCAATGTAGAGTGGATGTCTGTAATTTTAATTGTTTTTAATTATATATTTTGCCACAAAGCCTTAAATTTTTGTTCATAATTGATATATTGTGAGTGATTTGTTTTTTTTCATTTATGTTAAGTATGATTGCTTCTTCCAGTTTTACAATATCGTGCTTTGTCTTTTAAGAAGTAAATGTGTCCAGGGTATGCAGGTTTAAATTTCTCTCCTTTGCTATTTTTGGAGTCCGAGGTTTGCCAGCAATGTGCTGAGTTGACAACTGTATTTGTTCCTTCAGATGAATTACAAGAAAGCACAGAGATGCAAGAGACAGAATCAACCAAAAGTTGTGCAGGTTAAGACTTGACGTATATGCTGGAGTTTGGCATGACTTCAGTAACTTCTGTACTGCTTAAATGGACAGGACTAGCCAAACACCATTATATGCCATTGTGGTTTCTGGTGTTTGTAGACATTTATAAAGTACATATATTTTGCATTTTCTGGTGATCACATTTATGGCGATTGTATGTTTTATTGGCATTCACCGATAGAAATCCTGCATGTTTTGTAGTATTGTTTGGTGTACTCCTAAAACATACTACATAAAGAATGTAAAATGGCAACTCACATCTCCTTTTTTGTTATTGCATTGTGAAGATTATAAAATGTGGCTTCTTGTCATTGATCGTGGTAATAGGTTTTTCTAAGAAACCAACTGAAATATATATTTTATTGCATACAAGTCCACTGTGCTTTTTAGTATTTTTTTTTTCCACAACAGGGGTCCTCAAACTCCGTCCCCCCAGATGTTGCTGAGCTACAACTCCCATGATTCTTTGAATTACATAGATAGCCAGAGAATCATGGGAGTTGTAGTTCAGCAACATCTGGGGGGACGGAGTTTGAGGACCCCTGCTCTACAATGAGGCTGTCCTCTTTTACACATTCGGGCAAAATGTGCTTCTTTCATTGTGTTCTTTATTACCTTATTCTTTAAATTATATTCTGCCCTCCCCTGATATATAGTGTACCTGTCATGGGAAAACCACTTTAAGGTTGATTTTTATTTATTTTTAGATAATCTACACAATGTGCTAACAGACTAGCACCCTGAAAATGGTCTCTCTCCCAGTTCTGTCAATTATTCCCTGCCATGCACTTCTATAGAGTTGGCAAAGTGTACTGAATTTGTTTTTTACGCATCTTTCTTGCCTTCTGAATTTTTATAGCACATATGCAGCAATGTGCTATTTTGCCTATCATGTGCCATTTCAATGTCGTTCTTATTGTGAAAAGGAGATAATGTTCCTTGTAATTCGAAGTCCTTTTGTGCTTCTTTCAGAATGAGATTGTTCATAGCTACTGTAACATAATCTGAAATAGAAAATGTGGGCCATTACTAGGCAACAGTAGACAAATATTAAAGTTCAGTAAATATTTATAGTTGTAAATCACTGCGGAATAGTGTTGCGCTATCTAATTGCTAACAATAATTTGTCTGAGGCAAGATGTTAATAAAAATATATATAGTTCTTAATGCTTATTTTGTATTCTTCGGTTAGAGTTTGAACATTGTTTCAGTGATTTATTTATTAATTTTATTGTAAACTGTAAACTCTCAAACCTTCATTGTGTAAACCTGTACTATCATCAATTATTTAATTTCTGATTTTAGCTATTTTATATTGACTCTTTGCACTATAAATTTATGTCCCTGTTACATATCGGACTTATGAGGAATGCTGCTTGAGCCAGCAATGTGCTGAGCTGACCACAGTATTTGTTCCTTCAGATGAATTACATTCCCAGGCCCCCGCAACTGATTTTGGAACTGCAACTAATGAAAATCTTCATATCGTTAATGTGGAGGGGAAGCACACTTAATATTTTTAACTTAACGCTTGAGCTTAGTCTAACGCTTAATTTGAATTGTAATGTAACAAACAGTGAAATGTGTACTTGAAATGCGTACAAAATTTTGTTATATAACTTACCACACATGACCTGTTGTAAATATACATTTATTCACTTAAGCCGGAAAACCACTTGAATGTAATTTAATTTTTTTTTTTTTTTTAAACTTCAGACTGAATTTGAGAGATTCCTCTACATTTTTCAACTCTGCCAAAGTCTATTTACTCTGTTGTGTAAGCTATTATATAGGAATATAGTGCCTGAAGTAAAACGTTTTATAAGTGAGTGAGTGGAAAGCCCAGGCCTTCCCTCTCCCTGCCCCACCCCCCTTTTTTTTTTTTTTTAACTCCTGAGTTATGATTGACACGATTTACATCTTCTATGCAATGTGCTGTGGAAACCAATGTAAATTAAATGCACGATCTTCTAATAAAAGTCTGCTTTGTGACAGAACTTTTTACAGTGGCAAAAATAATTTAAGTGTTTCATTTATTAGGTTTCTCATGTCACAGGCTGTTTTAGCTGAGCAGCTATTTTTTTTATTTTTTTATTTATTTTAGTTGTACATAGATGATGCCAACACGTTTGCAATGTCACAACAGCTAGAGCAAACAGATCAATAGACATAGTAAGACAATTGTATGGCATTTGACAGCACTGCACATTTTTTTAATAGGAAATATAGAATATGAGAACATAGGAGTTATGGAGCCACTGGGTACATATTATAAAGGAAGCATAAAAAAAAAAACACAAAACCCTGCACTATTAAACAGGATAGTAGAGAGATTTTTGTCAGTATGGGTTCATCCAATACCACAAGTAGGTCTCAGCCATTCCATCTGAAGCTGGTTTTAAAGTCACCACTCACACAGGCCCCCCAATGACAGCCAGGTTTCATGCAGATACTCGGAAGGTTTGCAGAGTTTGGGGTCTTCATTTTTCTGTGTCTTAGTTTGAAGGGGATTCACAAACGGAGGATAGCACTCTCACTCTTAGGCATCTAGGTGCTTATCTGGGTCAGGGTTGGCAAAACCCAGTTTAGTAGATAAAATAAATTCAGTCCAGGCACTCCGGATTGCTGCAGGAAAGCAGATTTATTGAAACAAAAAGTGCAAGGTTTTGGCCTACACAGAGGCCTTTATCAAGCTTGAGAGAGGCCTCTGTGTAGGCTGAAACCTTGCACTTTTTGTTTCAATAAACCTGCCAATGCATATTTTATACAAAAACTACTCTAAAACATCAACCTCTACAAGATTACTGTACAACAATGCACGTATGAATGGCAGACAGAGCAATGTAAATTTTGCTACTTATAAATGAATGGGGTTGCTCCATTAATCATTACCTTAACCACTACATCATTACCATAACCAGAGAAGACTGCCTCATTTTTAAGAAAATGACACCGGATTATTCTAAAAACAGTACAACATGTCAGATGGTTTACAAAACATAAATGTAAATAGCAGATTATACATACTGACAGAGAAACAGGTACATTTTGATAATGAAGTATAGCAATCAAACTGATTAATACCAAGCTATATAAAGGTAAACACCAACACCCATGCTCAAAGATCTTGCCTTATGTAAGTTAGGTAAAGAGGAAAGTTGGTGCCCTGAGAAGGTTTATTACTGGTGGATGGCTTGATATTACTATTTAATTATGGTACACATGGGATTAAGGAACTGTGTGCACCACACGCATTGAGGCTTTCCCCAATACCCACGCTTGCAATGAATGTCCCATATTTGGTCCATCTGCTGGCTCCAGGCCACATGAAGTGACCATGTGCAGTTCCCACAGGCCATATTTCTACCTCACGAGCACACAATGGATAGTGTGGGATCTTGAAGTTATAACAAGTAAGGTTTAAAAAAAATAAAATAAATAAAGCTTATAGCCGTGGTTCCTAACCCAGAACTGAAGTACCTCCCAACAGTGCAGGATTTAAAGATTACCCAGTTGTGTTTAAGGTGTTTTTTTTTTTTTTTACAAGAAAACAAACACTCTAGACACAACAGGGTAATCCCTAAATCCTGGACTAGTTGGGGGTACTTGAGAGCTGGGTGGGGAACCTCTGCCTTTCTTCTTGAAAGATTTTTGATCAACAGAAGTTTTTTCAGAGAACTTGTTTCATTTAATTACCAGATTTTACTAATTACATGACGTAAAGTCATGATTTTATAAAGGACATGGAGGCGAGTATTAGGCTTTATCTCTTTCTTTATTCCTCAGCAGCAAAGAAAGGATATTGATATTTTTTAATATACCAATAACAAAAAGAAAAAACAAATACCCTTAAGGGTTAACCATATAACATTCCATATCCATTAACCAATAGGATCAGTCCTTGTACTATATCCCTTCATGTGAGGTAAACTACTTCCTCTTTCTGGCTGACGCCGAAGCTGAAACACATCAACAAGGGAAAACATTTTCTCAAACTTGGGTAATTTTTCTTAGGGGTTCCGGCGAATGTTCCAAATAATGTTGAGATAGTGGACGATCCCGGTTATGTCATCACAGGGTTGAGCTGTAGGAGACAGAGAGATATATGGTAAAATATATTCGAATATCGTTGTCATGCATATATGTTGTACCGGTCCGTAGACAAACGTTTATATCTGAAAACATTGCTTGCGACATTCTAGCATAAATCAGTCTAACTCGCAATTATTACCCTAGAACCTTGATTCTAAACATCCAAAATGCTATAACCTGTTTATGAGTAAGTGGGTGGGAAAAATACATGTACAGCTTACCTTTCAGTGGGCGGGCTAATACTCGCCTCCGTGTCCTTTATAAAATCATGACTTTACGTCATGTAATTAGTAAAATCTGGTAATTTGATTAAAGGACACGGAGGCTCTTATTAGGCTAGTTTAAAGCTGTGATATGACCCTAGACGAGATATGTTCTGTTGGTCTAAAGTAGTATTCCTTGAACGTCGATTCTCGGGACCAGTCAGCTGTGCGGAGGAGGTCTTCCAGTTTACATCCAATGGAGAATGCTTTAGAGGCCATAGCGCCTCTAGTAGAGTGTGCTCCGTAAACGGCTGTGTCGATGTTAGCATTTGACATTATCCATTTCACCCAACGTGTCAGAGTTCCCGTGGATACTGGTTGATGAGGTTTTCTCACTGCCAAGAACAAATTATGTGTTGTTGGGTTCCGGAATGGCTGTGTCCGTAACTCATATTCCTGCAGGCATGCTACCGGGCAGAGGTTAGCGTTGTGAGGAAAGGAGGGATAGAAGACTGAAGTGGTGTTCGACTTTGTACGCCTGGTGATATTAAACAGGACACCATCCGGTGTGAATGATCGTGCATCGATATCTAAGGCCCTCACGTCTGATACCCGTTTGCAGGAAATTAAGCATAGAAGCATCGCCAATTTTGCAGACACTTGCTTGAGTGTGAGGTTCGAGTTTGGGGGCCAATCTTGCAACAACCGAAGGACCATATTCACATCCCATAGGGCCGTGTAACGAGGTTGTGGCGGACGTGCAAATTTTATGCCCCGTAGGAGACGACAGATCCATAAGTGCTTCCCAACCAGTGTGCCCAGCTGAAATCGCTGACCTGTACACATTTATGGTGTGATAAGCCAAACCTTGATCATAAAGGGTAGTAAGGAAACCCAAAACCTGGTTTATAGGAGCACGTATGGGATCCACGTGCCGTTCCACGCACCAACTACACCATGTGTTCCAGGCATGAGCATAGGAACGTCTTGTCCCTGGGGCCCAAGCTCCTGACAATAATTCCAAAGTCGTTTGTGAAACATTCGGCATGGTCCAGGGTCCCTGGAGAGGAGCCATGTTAGGAGTCTGAGATGACCTTGCACCAGAAGTGGATGAGAGTTCCCATCGGGATCTGATAATAATTCCGTGCTCCCTGGAATCAATCTGGGGAGGTCGATTGACATTTCCATGAGGGAAGGGAACCATGGCTGTGCCGTCCAGAACGGTGTTATCAAAACCAACGATGCTCGGGAGCGCCGTAAGTGTAGGAGAGTTCGCGCTATGAGTGAGAAAGGGGGGAAGGCGTAGAGCCTGGTGTTCGGCCAATTTTGTAGGAAGGCCGTGGCGTCTGGGTCCGGTCTCCAGCTGAAGAATGAGGGGAGTTGAGCATTCAGCCGGGAGGCAAAAAGGTCGATGTGCATCGGTCCCCAGAGTTGGTGGAGCTTCTGGAATAATGTGCGATTCAATCGCCATGCACTGTTGTCTCATAAATGCCTGGAGTGCCAATCCGCTACGGTGTTGGAGAGGCCTGGGAGGTATTCCGCCTGTACGGATATGTTGCGACTCAGGCAGAAATGCCAGAATTCTTTCGCCAAGTTCGTGAGGGTTGAGGACCTCGTGCCACCCAAGTGGTTGATGTAGCGGACGGCTGAGACATTGTCCATGCGCAGGAGTATGGAACAATTGGTCGTGTGTCCGAGGAGGCTCCGTAGGGCGAATGACCCAGCCAGGAGTTCCAAACCATTGATGTGGAATTCTTTTTCTTCGGAAGACCATCTTCCACCTGTAGAGGTAGGACCACAGCGGGCCCCCCATCCCAGTCTGCTCGCGTCGGATTCTATGACTAGATCCGGAGTGGCACCGAAGATTGCCTTGCCGTTCCATGCTTCCATGTGTTGAAGCCACCATGCCAGTTCCTCTTTTGCCGCGCAGTCTAGAGGTACAGAATATGAATAGGAGTGACCCAAGCGTAGGTGGGTTGCCTTGAGTTGTTGTAGCGATCTGTAGTGGAGAGGGCCTGGGAAGATCGCTTGTATAGAGGCCGAGAGCAGGCCAATTATCCTGGATAGCTGTCGGAGGGTTAAGACTGGTCGAGACAACGTCCTCCGGATTTCCTTCTTGATAAGTTTTACCTTCGCGGTAGGAAGACTGAGCGTTCCGTGTACTGCGTCTATATCGAAGCCCAAAAACTCTATCGAGTGTGAAGGTTGTAGGATCGATTTGTCCCAATTGATTAGGAAACCTAGGTTTTGTAAAAGGGTCACTGTCCAGAATAGGTGTTGATTCAGTAGCTGTGTGTCTTGGGCCATGATCAGCATGTCGTCGAGGTATATGATCAGACGTACACCTCTGCTGCGAAGGAGGGCAACTACTGGTTTCAGCAGCTTGGTGAAGCACCACGGGGCTGAAGACAGGCCGAAAGGGAGACAGCGGAAACGCCACATCGTCTGTTCCCATTGGAATTGCAGTAATTGTTGACAGTCCTCGGCAATCGGTATTGTGAGGTATGCATCCTGGAGGTCCAATTTTACCATCCAGTCTCCCAGTCGTAGTAGATCTCGGAGGCAGTGTATTCCTTCCATCTTGAAGTGATGGTATGTGACAAAGGCATTGAGAGGCCGCAAGTTTATTACTGGCCTCATGCCCCCACCTTTCTTGGGTACTAAGAAAATGTTGCTTAGGAAACCGGGGGCGGTAATGGGAACCCTGTATATCGCACATTTTTCCTCCAGTGTGCGAATCTCTTTTAACACTAGCTGTTTGTCTAGTGGGGAAAAAACAATCCGATGTGGCAAGGAGAGTTGAATCGGCTGTTGTGTAAATTCGATGTGATAGCCGAGGATGGTCTCTAGGACCCATGTATCTGAGGTTAGGTTGTGCCATGCATCCTGGAAATGAAACAATCTGCCCCCCACAGGTACAAAGGGAATGGTGCGTAAAGTGGAGTGACTCACCATAAGGCCGACGGCCATAGGAGGATCTCCTGGTTCCGCGTGGATGCCATGATCTGCCCCTGGTCGGGAAGAATGGTGATTGTGCCCTCGGTTCGGGTGGGTGGAACCGGGTTGTGGCGGAGCCTCGATAGCCCCGGAACTGAGTCCGGGAGGGGCGGCCGGACAGACGGCCCCGCTGTCTGCCGGCCCCCCCGAAAACCTTTTGCGAGAACACTCGCTTCATATTATGTTGTGCCGTAAATGTGTTTACGTAATTACCCAGGGTCTTAACAAAATTGTCTCCAAATAAGAGACCTTTTGCCTGTGTGCCAGGCTCGGAGATTGCCAAATGCACTAGTTTTGGCTCGATTTTCATCAATATGGCTTTACGCCGTTCCGTGGCCAAAGCGGTGTTGGCATTTCCTATTAGGCATATGCCTCGCTGAATCCAGCCTCTGATGGCCATCAAGTCAATTGGGGTCCCCCCAGTAAGGGCCGTTTCGACCATATCGAAGATTTTAGCTATAGGCCCGAGTATGTCCAGGATCTTGTCCTGGCAGTGTTTTAAGGAGTAGTCCAAACCCTTCTTGGCCCTCCATCCTGACTTACCCAGGAACTGGGCGACCTTGGGATCCACTTCAGGGGTTACGCAGGCCATGTCCGGGACAGTGGGCCTTGGGCATTCCGCCCTCAGTTTGCTTCTTGTGGCCTTGTCGAGGGGTTTTCTGACCCTAGTCGCAATATAAACGGCCACATGAGTTGTGGGGTACCACTCCGCTGAACGCGGATTATGCAAGGTGTCGGGATCAAAAAGGGGTTCCCCTTGGGGGTCTAATACAGCGGACTCATCCGTCTCGCGCTCCGCGTCTAAAGCTGGAGGCGCGGTGTCGCTGCGTTCGGGGGACGAATTGTCTGAATTAATTGGGTCGATGTCATCGGACCCATCTGATACCTCCTCTGAGTCGAGTCGGAGTCGGACGGATCAGATAGGGCTTTTGCCCTCTTCCAAGTCCGCACCGTTTTTGCCCGGCGGGGGGCTCTTTTACGTGGGAGCACCACGTCATCAATCTCAACAGGGCGCAACCTGTCGGTCTTACTGGTTCTGGAGGTAGCACCTGACAGATGGTGCGATTTACACGTAGCCTTGCGGCTGCTAGGGACCATTGGCTTGCTATCAGTGGGTATAGGGGGTGCCGAGCCCGGGTTGTGACCGGATGCCCTAATAGCAGAGGAAATAGAGTGGGACAGGGTGTCCGACATCGCCCCCATGGCGGTAAAAATGGCCTGTGTAACAGACCTACTCATCGTGGCATCCAGGAGCGCCTGGAACTCCTCTGAGTTCACGTGCTCCTGGGATGCGTCCCCAATTCCCCCAGTGACAGCAGCGTCTGTAGACAACGCTGTCTTATCACGCTTGCTGGGTTTATTAGAGGTGGGAGGGGGTGCAACTGGCTGTTTCTCAGCAGGGGACTGCATGGTGATCAGGAATGTGCACAGTCACAGTAGAGGGAGAAAAGGCACTGAAATAAACTGTCACTATTGGACAAAATGCACACTGGCAGCACTGCAGAGGTTAATATACCAGCAGTATAGGGCAAGTGGCTGAGCACTAGAGTGAAAGTAAATGTAGGCACAGTTATAAGAGGCACAAGTATTTTGGCACATATAATATGGCAGCTTACCGAGTGTTCCCTCAGGAATGACTCCTGGGAGACACTGGTAAGCTGCCCAACACTTCCCTCACCCAATCAGCTCGCGCCCCTCCCTGTCAGAGTGGCGCGGACCGCGGGCGAAAAGAGCGGCAAATTTGCCCTCAGTCAAGATGGCCGCCGCGATGCGCGAGTGTGGACCGCGCATGCGCGAGCGGCGGGAACGACCGCCAAAGAAACAGCCGCCCATCCGGCGGCGAAAAACGGCTCGTTCTGGGCCGGGAGGGGGTGGGGAGGGGATGCTTGAGTGGCCCCTACCCGGGGAAGTGGAAGGAGGGACGGGTTATAAACAACCCGAAAACGGCAGTGCAGGATGGGGCTTGCCTCAGGGAGGAGGCAAGCACCCTGCACTGGGAACAGGGTTAGAGCAAAAACATCAGGCAAAATACACAAAATAATTGACAAAAACAAAACAGATATATAAAAAGGAACAGTAGAAAACAATAATAATATGAATCAGTAGAATTTGAACAACACAATATTTGAGGAGCTGAAAATATGTGGTACTTAGCTGAGGCAGCAGCAAAGAAAGAGGAAGTAGTTTACCTCACATGAAGGGATATAGTACAAGGACTGATCCTATTGGTTAATGGATATGGAATGTTATATGGTTAACCCTTAAGGGTATTTGTTTTTCTTTTTGTTATTGCTATATTAAAAAATATCAATATCCTTTCTTTGCTGCTGAGGAATAAAGAAAGAGATAAAGCCTAATACTCGCCTCCGTGTCCTTTAATAAAATCTAAATTTTCTATGAGTAAAGGCTGGGTCAGCGCTTTCAAAAAGGGCATTGAATACACCGGTTTTAAAGCAAACCGTGTGCTCTTTCCTCCAGGGTACACTCTTAATAGGGAAGATACAATGGAACACAGAAGGCAGACTCTACCATAAGACTGGAGCAGACACTGTGAAGGGACCAAAGAAATAAGGCAAGTTCCTATTGGGAAAGTAGAACCTATAAATTGGAAAAGAAGATACAGTCATCTAATAGATTATCTAAGTCAGGGATAGGCAAACTTTGGCACTCCAGATGTTGTGGACTACATCTCACTTAATGCTCTTAACAGCCACAATGCTGGCAAAGAATGAGTGGATATATAGTCCATAATATCTGGAGTGCCAAAGGTTGACTATACCTAATTGAAGTTATGTGATAGGTCCAATGCCAAGAATTATCAAGGTACACAGTCCTGAAGTAGAATGCCTGCAAATTATAGACCTGTGGGAAAGTATTTATTTGAAAGGTTCTTAAGGGATAATATTCAGGAATTCCTTGAGAAGAATGTAGTTATCAGTAAAATCAGCATGGTTTTATGAAACATAGATCATGTCAAACTAGCTTATTTGCATTATATGAAGAAGTAGAAGTATAGATCAGGGTGTTGCAGTGGATGTGACCTACTTGGATTTTGCCAAGGTGTTTGATACAGTTCCACACAACAAATTAGTGTTCAAACTCAAAAGAAATTGGTCTTGTTGAAAATTCTTGTTCTTGGGTCGAACATTGGCTTAAAAATAGAGTACATAGAATTGTCATTAATGGTACATTTTCAGACTGGACAAAAGTGGTAAGTGGTGTCCCTCGGGGTTATGTTCTGGGATTCTTCTATTTAACATGTTTATAAATGATCTTGAAAAAAGCATTGAAAGTCATGTTTGCAGATGACACAAAACTCTGTAAAGTAATAAAATGTGAGCAAGATATTACTTTGCTGCAGAGGGATTTAGATAGACTGGGGGACTGGGCACTCAAAATGGCAGATGGAATTTAATGTAGAAAAATGCAAAGTTATGCACTTCGGAGTAAAGAATGCACAAGCAACTTATACGGTAAATCAGGGCTGTCCAACCTGCGGCCCCCCAGATGTTGAAATACAATTCCCATGATTCCCTGGCTGTTTCATTGAAAGAATCATGGGAGCTGTAGTTCAGCAACATCTGGAGGGCCGCAGGTTGGACAGCCCTGCGCTAAATTGTAGTGAATTAGGGATAACAACACACGAGAAAGATTTGGGAATTGTTATGGACAACAAAATAGGCAACGATGTGCAATGTCAATCAGCAGTGGCTAAGGCCAGTAAGGTATTGTCATGTATGACAAAGGGCAATAATTCTCGGGATGAGAATATAATTTTGCCTCTTTATAAATCACTGGTAAGAGCACATATTGCATATGCTGTGCAATTTTGGGCATGTTTTCTAAAGAAGGATATTATGGCACTAGAAGAAGTGCAGAGGCAGGCTACAAATGGAACATTTTAGCTATGAAGAAAGGTTAACAAATATAAACCTCTTTAATTTAGAAAAACGGCGCCTCAGACGGGAAATTATAACATTATACAAATATATCTGGGGCCAATGCAAACCATTGTCTGGATATCTATTCACAAACAGGACTATACAAAGGACACAGGGTCATGCATTTAGACTGGAAGAAAGAAAATTTAGTCTAAGGCAAAGAAAAGGTTTTGTTTTTTACCGTAAGAACTGTGGAATTCTCTGCCCGAAGAAGTGGTTTTATCAGAGCCTGTACAGATGTTTAAAGCGGCACTGTCATGCCGAACTTACCTTTCCTCAATCTCTTCCTCTTCTCCCCCTCTCTCAGGATCTGTTATTCTTTTCTTCCTGTCTTCTTTAGTTTTCTTTAAAATCATAAGACAAAGTAGGGACTCTTTGCTTTATGGAGGATTCCTCCGCTTGACCAGCTCTGACCAGCGGAGGAGCAAAGTGTGCTTCAATTCCGCTGGTCAGAGCAATTTTCCCATGATCCCTAGCTTTCCTCAGTGTTCCCACAATGCTTCCTGTCACTTTCCACAAAACTGCCGAATTGCGTTCTAACTGAATGAGAACAGTCTGTTCGTTTCTTTTAGAACGCAATTCGGCATTTTATTCGGATCGGAATTTCATTCTAATGAATGAAACTCCGATCCTATTCATTGCTGTGGCTGCATCTTGCAGCCGTTTAGTAGATAACTCCCTAATTCCCACGGTATCAGGGAGCTATCTACTAAAAGGCTGAAAGACCTAAATTGGTCTAACAGCCACATTTACTAATACTAAGTAAAGATTACTTAGTATTAGTAAATTAAATGCCCCTACTCGCTATACCGCGAGTAGGGGCATGTGTAGTAAGCAGTGAGCAGCCTGTGGCTGCTCACTGTAAAAAAAACTATTGGCCCCCACCCCTAAACCACGGGTGGGGGCCCTAAAATAAAATAAGGGGGGGGGGAGACTTACTGCCCCCCCCGGCCCCCACCCCTGGGCGG